CCCAGGGCCGCGAACCTTCCACCTACGAGGGCGCTGGTGCAAACATGGGCTACCAGGGGCAGCGCCGGGTCGTCCCGCCGCAGGTAACGCTGGAGACGGGCGGGTTGTGCAAGGCAGGTCCCTTCAAGTTTCATTCACCCTACAACAGGGTTTAGCTGTCTTCATTTGGTGTCTTGATTTAGCACCGCGGAAGGTTCTCCAGGAGAAAAAGTTTTGCCTTGATGTGACTTTTTTTTTTTCCTTGGGAGGCGTTTTTCCATATAACCCCTTTAATTTCACAAAATCACGTCATTGGTTCCTCACAGATCCTGTACTCAAGGATTTCATGCAGCAGTCCGAGAACTTGGCGCAGCTTGTGATCAGGGCACTTTAGGATGGCGTTTATTTATAAAGTTCTGTTGAATTACTAGGTATTATTGTTACTCTTCATTATCATCCTCATCATTATTTTCTTATCATTATTGACATTACTTATTACTACTGATTTCGTGTTAGTCTCTTACACTGCGTATTTGTCATAATTTTATGATTTTTTTGAGCTAGTCAATATGTATTTAATTGCTATTTTATATATAGAGCGATCTAGATGACAGAGAGACCCTCGTTTCGGAGCATAAGCACAAAGGGGAAACTTGTCGTCAGTCTGCTGCTGTTTTTAATGTTGTCAACTCGATTATAGGATCTGGTATCATAGGTAAGGTTTTTGTTTTTTGTTTTTGGTTTTTTTTTTGAGTAACAAGTCTCAGTTTAAAACATTTATTGTGTTGGTAGTATTCTTAGATTATTTTTAAAGGAAAAAATCTTTAATTATAAAATTGGTAATTTTTTCCCCATAAACGTCTTTCCTTTCTTCCAATGTAACAGTGTGCACACATCAGTCTTTTGTGCTGAGGGTTGTGATTCATACTCTTTCCATGTTTTAGAGCATCCTCCACATGTGGTAGATTAAGGTGAAGCTGACAATGGGAGATGCTGATTTTTTTTTCCACAGGCTTCATGATCAATTGATAACGTTAGCTAATTAATTTTTTTCCCCTTTTCCTGGAGTGACCACCATTACTTGAATCACCTCTGTATGACCTTCTAGAAGTGTAAAACCTCCAGGTATTTGGAAGTATTGGAGGTACAAAAATTAAATGTGAAAACATAACAATCTTGTGAAAAATTAAATCTGTGCAGTATTTCCTTACCCATTTATGTAGTGTTAAACTTTAAAGTACAAACTTACTATGATACATTAATTTTAAATAGCATGTAATCAATACATAGAAATTGGTTAAATGTTTTTTTTTAATAAAGGAGACAAATAGTCAGAATTGAAAGAAATGAGCAGCTCATATTTTCCCAAATTGAAGCAAGGGAAAAATTCTGACAAAATTAAGTGCATGGCATTATAATAATAAAGGCAGGTTTTTTTTAGTGCTTATTATTCTTTTTATTATTTGAAAACATCCGATTTTAGAAAAAGCAGAGACCAAACAAAACCCTATAAATATTCATTGAGAATATTACTTTTTCCTATAAAGTTTTGACATTTTAGTCAGTCATCTGGATTGACTGTGGGTGTGGGTGTATGTGCATGTAAAACAATTATTGCACAATTTAAGTTGCAGGAATAAGCAATTAAATAGTATTACTTTTCTTAACTTTCACAAGTTGATGTGTTTCTTGATTTTACTTTCCATATATAGACAATTTGTTTTTCAAATGGTGGATAAAATTTAGGAACCTGAGGCAAAGTAGTAGGAAGTACTGGCAAAGGCTTGTTTGAAATTCTGCCTCAATGTACCACGGAGGTTTGGGCAAAATTCCAGAGCTCATTCCTAATATGAACAATTTAAGCTGATCCGTGTCAGCAACTTTAAAAAGTACCTTTTAATTAGGCTCAGCAGATTTTTTTCGGGGGGAATTTTTCAGAGAATACAAATCCTGGATGGAAATACTTTAAAGATGTTTTATTTTAAATATTATATTGTGATTAATGTAAAATTGCCCATTTCCAGAGAACTTCATAAGAAATAATGTTACTTACCCCCATCAGCTTTATAAAATATATTTTTGCCTCTCCTTTTCCTACAGGGTTGCCCATTTTGACCCCAGAGTTGCTCTTTCCTCACAGCTCATAACCCTTCTACCCTCTCATTGCCGGCTCTGCTTTCCCAGCCAGCATGTGAAGAGAGCACGGACAGCCCTGGGTCATTACCCTCCACAGATTCTAGGTTATTTGTCCCCCTGACCCTGAAGTGAACATTTCTCATGTGAACTGGCATCTGTTATTCATCTGATGCTTTCTAATTCTTACTCTTCCATTTTATCAACTTGCTTTCTTGACAAGTCCTTAACTTACAATATTTTATTCTGAAATAGGTATTAATATGCTAACATTTAACTTTAGTATTCCTATGCACTGTTTGTGACTATGTGATATAAGCATGCCAATTTACTTAGCCTATTATGCATAGGAATTGGGGGGAAATATCTGTATTTCTGTATATTTTATTAATGTGACGGGTGGGGTATTTTATGTTTTTTGCAGGATTGCCTTATTCGATGAACCAAGCTGGCTTTCCTCTGGGAATATTGCTTCTATTTTGGGTTTCGTATATCACAGGTAAAATACTATTTAATTGCTTATTCCTGCAACTTAAATTGTGCAAGAATTGTTTTACATGCACACACACCCACACCCACCGACCCACGCACACACACACACACACACACACATCCTGTAACTGAATTTTCCAATTAAAAAGTGCATCAAAGGATCCTGAAGAATTTAGACATTTATGTCTGAAGAGATTTTCTTTTCTTGCTAATCCTCTGAACAGATTAGAAAAGCATTATATATTACCAGGCCCAAATCCTTTTCATGTGCCTTTTTCACTTTATGCAGAACGTGGTAGATGAGGGAGTCATTTTAAAGATTGATTAAAGCTGAGACTCTCCTCTCAAAATGTAGACTTCAGGGACTCCTTTCCTGAAAAAACCATGGGCAGGTGCACACTAATGAACAACCTTTTCCAGCTCTGTTGGTGCAGGGGACACCGAGAGCCCTGGTGCTCAGCCAGCCTGGGTCACCACTCCCTCCCCACCCAGCCCTTGTCGGCCCGGGCTCCCTGCCTGCCACCGTCTTCAAGTGCAGCAGTAAGGTGCTTCGGTATCCTTTCTTCTGTTCTGCTTCTCACTTTTCATGTAACATGTTCATTCACACCCAGATTTGGCCACTCCACCGTTTAAGTGCAGGCGTTACAACTCCCAATCATCTCCCCTCCTGATGTTCTCACCCCTGCCCCGTCATCCCACCAGCTCACCTCATGACAAATGCAAGTTCTTCCCTCTACCTTAGAATCACTGTGTGTGTATGTGTGTCTGTGTGTGTGTGCGTATCTGTGTACAGCAATCACAAAGAGACACTCCCCTGCAGTGGTGGCCGCTGTGTGGGACCACCTTGATGTCTGTCCCCAGGGAATGCAGAACACCTCAGCTGTCTCCCTCTCCAGAGTGGGGACCTGGGCCTCAGTGATATCACCTTCCTGTGAGGTCATGAACCCCAGCCACCATTTCCCCACAGCCTTCAGTCAAAGACTGACTGGCAGAAGCCCCAAAGCTGGCTTCCCTGCATCCAGGAGGAACCAATGTGTGGTGCACTTGGAGCTCAGGGCGCCCACCATGCTGGGCAAGGCTGCAGCTGGTCTCCACCTAAGACCACATCCCTGCTGAGCTCTCTCCCTGCCCTGTCCCTTCACTCCCCTTCTCCTGGGAGTGCTCCCTGAAATCCCTCGCCTAAGAATCTCTGCCTCAGCTCTGCTTCTGGAGACCCTGACCAAGACACCATCCCTCACAAAACCTCAGGTTTCCAAACGCAGCCTGTAATTCGGCTGTTTTTCCTTAGGCTGAGAAAGAAAGTAAAGCATGTGGTAGATAGCAAAGTCAGAGCTGCAGAGGCCCTGGCTCCCTTCCTCCCTGATTCTTCTCACCACACCGACTCCCCAAACCTGAGCTGCTTTTAGTTTTTACAGCTCTTAATTTCTAGCTTAAGACCCATAACTTGGTAACGTGGAACCCATTACTTTGTGCTTATTCAGAGTTGCTGGTATTTAAAAATTGCATTTTATTCATGAGAGCATTTATTACACTAAAAATTT